ATTGCGTGTATGTACCCCCACAACTTACAAGGAGAAGAAGTCAAAGACACCGATCCACTCACCTTCCCTTGACCGCTCCGGGGTTATGGAGTACGGAGGACTGGGGCTCTTTCTCACAGGACATCCCTCAACCTGCCGAAACTAGCTCAAGAAACCTCCCCCTGAAGAACGCTCTATTTCTTGCGGAAATTTCTCTCGGCGGGACGACAATTCGCGTCGTTCGCATTTCATGTATTTTCCGAAGTTAAGGATAGTCCCGCGTCCCTCCCGGCCCGTCCCTTCTCCCTTGATGTTACACAGCCGCTGAGCTAAGGCTTGATTTTCCTACTCAGTATGTAGCGACAATGGGCAGCAGATACCCGACAATTGGTGGCGGCCCTCGGAAAATAAATCGGGAGGCTCACTCCCTCTCTCTGTGCCGACCAGCTTCGTCTTGGAGGCGGATATCTACTACCGCTGAGCTGACCGACATTCTCGGCAGCCATGATAGCATCACGAAAAACGAGGTGGAGATTGGGCCCGTTACCTCAGCCATAGCTGCCAACTCACACATCCTAGAACATGATAGCGGAGCGGGAAGAACCTGTGCAGCAGATGGCATGCAGCGAGGTGCATCGGAAGCTTGCAGCGCAGACACAGCCAGCTGTCCTGGGCGAACCAGACGCCGAACCTCGCCTCGCACGCGCTTTTCCCTGTGTCGACTTTCTGTAAGAACTGTGGGCACTGTGAACTCGGGAGGGAAGAGGCCTGGAGACACCAGCCAGGCCCAGCCCTGCAGTGTCTTTCTGCGTCAGTTATTAGCCAGGTTGCCCCAGTGCGCAATCGATGTCGTCCCTTGGCCGTCTGCACACCACGCCCATCCTCCCGCCTTGGAGCTCTCTCCAGAGCATCCGAGCTGTACCGGTGGATGCGTGGACACCGAACGCCGCCTAAGACGACCTAGTTGCAGGGAATCTGTGATGGTATCCGTATCTGTGCCCAGTCTAATGGTGTCACGGCAGGATGCAAGATGATTTCCGTCCCTAATATTTCATCCCCTTCTTCTCTCATGCGAGTGCTCCTGCGCTGTCAGGGACATGGTCATGGTCCCCCAGACTCCCGCCGAAAAAAATTCCAAACACAGGTTTTTTTTTGTATTGGAAAGAGAGAAAAAGAAAAAGAATATGACATATCCGGCCAACGCGCAAGTCCCATTTCGGATTTGGCAAGGCCGAGTCCGACCGCTTCTCACCGGACATCGTTGATATGCAAGCCTCGCGTTTCCGGGCTGGCAATGGGTGGTCATCAATGCCTCGGGCCCAACCAGCCTGCTGCAAGTTCTGCAACATGACCCCCGGTCGGTCGTTCGGGCACAGCAAACCGCATTGGACGAACGCCTCGCGAGAATCTCTTGGACGTGAGCGCGCGCCTTGCCGGTCGGCGATGCTGCCCCCAACCCCCTTCTCCAGCTCCTGTCCCTACGGGGAACGCCGTATGGGTGGATGATGCAGCATGGCCTGATGGAGCCTCGCGCACCCCCGTTGACCCAGGGCGGTTGTGGCATGCAGCAGCCGTCGATCATGTGTCTGAGCACTCGCAGGGCAAGGCTCACGAAAAGTGGCCATCATGCAGCCCAATGGGCGAATAAACACAACATTGGACGGGCGGTGAAGATAAGAGAGGGACAGCAAGCTTGCCCGGTGGCCCGGAATGCTTCCCGAGCAAATGGACACGGGCTAGCGCGCAAGCGATTTAAGGATGAGGGAAAATAGACAGAAACAAAAAACTTAGATGCGCTACTTCATCTTTGCAGGAGCCAGCCACGAACAGGTTTTTCTTGCGGAGTATTCCTTCCTGTATTGAGCACAGGCATGTATTCCAAGAACGGGGAGGGCGGGCGACTACCTAGCGGGCGATGGCGGTTTGGACGTTTCAGGAAGGAAAAAAAAAATAAAATGTGGCTCGAGGTTGGGCACCAAATCGGTAGCTACCCAGCTCGCTGGCGACGCGTTGGCGCCCCCTCCCCCCCTCTTCAGACCCCTCAAGCCCTTTCCCTTCTGGGTTCGGCGTGGTCAGCAGGAGCCGAGAGAGAGAGCCCTGGAGGTTATTCCCCCCGCCGTGTCGTATCCTCCTTCCCCTCACAGTGTCTAGTGCCCCCCAGAAATTCCAGGTTTTGCGAGATTGTCAGTCGCAGTCACGAACTTTCTTTTTTGTTTCCATTGAGCGACTGAGGTGCATGTCCAAATGCTCAGGTGATTGGGCGCTTTGCATGGCGGGGTGGAAAGAAGTCCGCTTCTCGCGGAATTCTACGGTTTTGGGACGGCACGAGGGCACGCGCTTCTGCCTCGATGCTCTTTCCCACGGTTTCTCCAGGGGCACTCGACGAGAACCTGGTACTCATGGTCGCCGTTGCAGCAAGTGTGCAGACGTCGCAAGTGCAAATGCAAGGAAGGAAGCCACCAGGTCAGAAGCCGGGCCGTATGTCTCTCTCCCCTCTCCTCTTGTCTCCGTCTCGATGCCTTTGGGCCGAGACAAGCTTAAGAAGCTCTCTCACCCGGCACTTCTCCCACTCGGCTGTCAATCGCGACGGGGCTGCAACGGATCAGAGGCCCGTGTTCCGGCCGAGGACTCGGCTTCGTCCCCGTTTCTGCACGACTCCAGTCGGCGGCAGGGTGGCTGTCCCGCTTCTTTCGCGGGGTCGCGCTACAGACCAAAAGCTATAGAAATGACGATGCCGTTGCGGGTTGGCCGAAGCGGTCAGCTCTTGGGTCAGAGTGTTGCTGCTTGTTGTCTCCACAGTCGTACGCTGCCTCATTCCGGCTATCGTCATTAGGAATCGAACCGGCTTGTGGGTTCTTTCTGCAGGCGTCCTGACGAGAACACGACAGGCGTGACAGACATCAGCAAGACAGCGTGGCGTCATCAAGCAAGCATCGCTCCTCGTGCAACAATCCTGACTGTTTCTGGTCCTGCTGCCGCTGCATCGAGCCGGACCGACCCGACGCTTGCAAAGCCCAAAAGTGGATTCGGTTCTCTTGTGTCGTCGAATCGCCAGATTCCACCGCATCAACTGTCAAGGGCGTGGCAACTGCACCGACGAAGAAGTACCATGACGGACCAGAGCGAGATCCCGCAGTGGCACGTCACCGAGCCGTACCTCAATCTCCACTGTCTCCTCGGGGAAGGCCCCTACTTCGAAGAGGCAACCAATACCCTGCGCTTCGTCGACATCAAGAAGAAGCAAGTCCACACCGTCTCGCTGAGCGACGGACCTGACTCGCTCAAGACGGTCCAGCTCGACCTGCCGGTTACCGTGACGGCCAATATCGACGGGATCGACTCCCAGGACAAGATCTTGATTGGGGTCAAGTACGGCATTGCCCTGCTCGACCGCAAGACGGGTCAGTACGAGTATCTAGCCAAGTTTGCCGATGGCGACGACTGCGACGACAGCAGCGCGCGGATCAGGAGCAACGACGGAGCCGCCGACCCGCACGGCCGCTTTTGGCTCGGCACCATGACCGACTTCGGCTTTGGCCCCTTTGAACCCGAAGGTGAGCGTCTCCCTCTCTCTGTCTCTCTCTCTCTCTCTCTCTCTCTCTCTTTGTCTATCCGGTGCACCACTGTCTCCTTTCCACGTGGCCACACATCCATACCTGCATCGGCACTTGACACCTTGGCATTGGGTCCCATGAACGGGCATGAGCGGCATCATGGTCCCCGCGTGTTGTCTGTTTTCTGGAACCACCGTAGGCAGCACGGGGGTGGAGAGGGACCCATGATGCAAGAGTCTTGTGTTGCTCACATGTGGAACATTCTAACACGATGCCCCGTGGGGGGAGCGCCGCAACGCACAGGCTCCCTCTTCAAGTTTGACCTTGTCAACAAGCCGGCATCATCACTGCTGGCGACGTCGAAGGAAGCGCGCGAGGCCACGCGCACGGGGCTGACTATTCCCAACTCGATTGGCTGGTCGCCCGACCAGAAGACCATGTACTTTACGCACTCGTCAGACAGACAGATGCTCGCGTGGGACTACGGCGCCGACGGCAGCCTGTCTGACGAGCGCATCTTCTACCAACACCCTGGGGCGGGCGAGCCCGACGGCTTTCGCGTCGACACGGATGGCAACGTCTGGCACGCCGTCTGGGGCGAGGGCCGCATCATCAAGATCTCGCCCGCAGGCAAGGTCATCGGGCAGGTAAACTTGCCTACCAAGCACATTACGTGCTGCGAGTTTGTCGGCACCGAGCTCTTCATCACGAGCGCCGAGGACGACGAGGGCGAAGGGAACAGCAAGCGGTATGGCGGTGGCCTATTCAGGGTAGACGTGGGGGCTACGGGGCTGGCACATTATCCGGTCAAGCTGGGTGCTTGAGAGGCGCGTTGCTGTTGCTGCATCGTTTTTGGATAGACTTTGCTAGACGAGACGGGTTTGGAGAGGCCGGACAAGATGGTGGTGATTCCCCTGCATTTCTAGGGCCGAGCAGGGATAGACGAGGGGGTTTGTCCTTTTCGAGTTTCCTGCCTGCCCCGGGCTGGAAGCTAACCATAGAAACATGAGCTGAAAAGTCCTACACTTAGAATTAGGACTTGGGAAAGAAGGAAAGCCTTGCCGCTGTCACACATCCACAAGTTCAAGTGGACATCCACTCTCTGGCAGGGATAGTCGCTTCCAGCGTCAAATTTCCAGCTTTCCGCTTTCAGCCACTCTTGATTTGGGCTCCGATTGGAAGAGAAAGAACAGGGCTGAATTTGACAAAAGCCATCACCCTGACGCCGGCTTGGCTTAGCTCTTGTTTGTTCCCCCTGCTGGCCCTGGTAGGGGATCGCGGTACTGTCACCAATGTCAAGATCACAGTGGATTAGGCTGTAGACCAGAGGCTCAAAATAAATACATATCATCACCTCGCTGGTTGGTTATGGCCGCATCTATTTTCTCCGTTTTGAAATGTTGCGGTACGGAATACAAACTAGGTGGATACATATTGGTACTCGGTACAAATTCAATCATGGAATCAGGCAACTTGGCCGAGTGGTTAAGGCGACACACCCGGGGATCCATCCCTCGCCTCTACACAAGGTGTATTGCGTTCTCAAAAGGGGCGTGAGTTCGGATCTCACAGTTGTCAATCAAATCATCATTTTATGTAGTTCCCCTTTTTCCCTGACTAGGGCTGTGCGTGGTGTTGAGCGAGAGCCGTTCATGTTATGTTGTTAACTCGCCTTTCTGTATTGGATAGAGACCGAAGATGGTGTTAGTTTTCTGGCGTTCTGAAGCAGAATTCGAGGGGCTCGATTGCGGCCCCGCCGCCTGAGGCCTTGGAGTTGGAATTTATGTTAGGGTGTATGCTTCTAAAGATGCATTTGCAGGTACTGGCGTCATAATGGTCAAAGAAAGAAGCAGAAGAAGGAAGGGTCCGAGGGTTCTAACCCGAGCCAGTCAACACTACCTTCCCTCGATTTAGCTCAGATGCCCCGATAGCTCTAAGGGAGACTCAACGGGTGACACTTAAGACTGTTCCGCTGGAATCCTAGGGTACCGTGGGTAGAGGTCTCGGATATAGACCAGATATGAGACTGGTGGATAATGGTTGCCGTTAGATCATAACGCCTCCCGGCCACCTTAAGTGAGGAGTCAGTAACTCGTGGGAACGACCTAGACTGACATATATCATGGATGAGAGGACATGCAAGGAGTTAGTTCTACATATTCCTTACCTTATGAAGGTTGTGAGTGGATATATTACGGTACCAATGTGCTTGCTGCATGACTTTACTTTGGGGTCCCTTCCTTTGTGTTGCGGGGAAGGGTGATCCGAGTAAATAAGCAAAGGAAGTGTGTGAGCAGGTCCGAGGAATGCCTGCGTGTTTTCCATTTTGAAATTATCTGCAAAGACGGTTCCAGAACCAGTTCAGTGTTTGCAATTATAGAGTACATACTTAATCGTTGCATCTATTCTTGACTCTGGATAATTTGGAGAGACGATGTCCCGCGCGACGGGATGTTGAGGTTGCGCAAGGGTTAGGGTCGTCACTTTGCTGCCTGGGAAATTTCGACTCGCATGTTGGCGCCACGGGTAGCAAAATCCAACCCCACTGAGTCGAGCAGCTCAGACACAAACACACCTCCAAGGGAGGCGCCATCACAATGGGAACAGACCCCAATTGCGAGCTTGTCCCCGAGAACAGAGAAGACGACGTGGACTCTCTCTTTGGCGGAGCTGACGATGACGCCGCTTCCCTCTTTACGGAAGACGGAGAATCATGTCCTCCAGCCATCGAGCCACCACGAGAGTTGGACCGTGAGGCAGCACTGTTGATACCAAATACAAGCCCGCCGCAGGCGGCTAACTCCTCTGTTCAGCTCAGCTTCCCGGCAATCACATTTCCACAGCAGCCGCTCCCGCCACAGCAATCGCCACGGGTGTCGCATTCCACCTCTTCATCGCCTCCGCTCCCCTCGCAAAAGGCATTACCAGCAGCTGAAGGTCCTGTAGCCGGCGCATTCCAGCTCACCTTCCCCACCGTCCCTGATCCTCCTGGCGCCTCTTTATCGTACCAGGACGGACACACTTCAGGTGATCCTGTGGTTAGTACTCACAATTTTGCTCACAATCTTCCCACTCCCGAGCTTGTCCCGTTCGACGAGCCAGACCTCGATGCGCATCTGGAGGAACTCTGGAGAACCATCGAAACCCAAGCTCGGCCTATTAATGCTCACCCAGAACCTCACCAATGCGACAGCCATCAGGCTAGCCAAACCGAGAACGGTGAGGACAGCGTGGCTGACCACGGCGGCCCTGGCATTGCCTTAACCAAGGTCCCCGGTTTCCGCTACGCCGATGCTGCCACCAACCGGGACATTCGTCTTCCCTATCGGATCGATAGCAGCCCGAGGGAAGCTGAAGTACTTGCTCCCTATATTACGCTCAGTGAGTTTCCGTCTATTTCTCCAGCCCCCCCGCCCCTACTCGCAACGCAGAGCCGCTGACGGGTTGCAGGACGATCTATCAAATTCAAAGAGCTATACGATGGGCTTGAGTTGGGCGTTGACACCGGTAAGATGTTGACTAAGGACATCAAAAAGTACCTTAAAACATCACCATTCAAATCCCTTGTCGACGAGAAGTCTGGCTACCACATCCTGGCCACAAAGGTAGCTTTCCTGAATGCCGCATTCCATATGCTGAGCTCCGAAGAGTGGGGATCGAAGTGGCTTGGTCCTGGGTGCCATAATGCCCAAGAGAGAACCATGTTTTGGCCCACAAGCTCAACCATGTAAGTCCGCCATTCCCTTTTTATCTAACCCTGTCAATTTCGTCACTAACCTAGCATGTTAGGCTTATCATTCACTTCGTTATGTTGCTGTACAGAGTCATCATATGTGAAAAGCAGTCTCTATCAAAGCTGAACCGAGGCAGCAAAGCAAAGGAGGATTCCGCTGAGCTACCCGAAGACACCCCGACCCCGACTACGACTAGATTGCGGTCGCCTACGATGATGCTGTTCGACAGCTTTGGTACTACAGGACGTGCAGTCACCCGACTGCCCACCCAAGAGTCCAGATTGCTCCTTGACTCACTTGTCAAAAATGTGACGAACAACAAGAAGCGAAGGCGATCCGATACTTCTGAGTTTTCCTACGAGGTTGAGGTCCCCGACGATGCTAAGCTTACCTACCATATCTACATCAAGGACAAGACCAACTGGGCTGACCTCAGCCCATCCGCCGTGTATCGCCACACGGACAGTATCATCACCCGCGGTGCATTTACATACCTCAAGACATCACTGGAGGCGGCTGGCGAAAGCCCCGCTTTCGAGATATTGACGCCATACGGGCCGCGTGTCATCTGCAGTGAGGATGACTGGGACCAAGCTATCATCGCCATTTACAACAGAAGGCGCTCGGGCGGGCAAGTGGAGGTTGATATATTCGTTTGAGCATGGATAAACACCGTGGCTTGAACGGCCAGGAGGCTAGGACGTGGCAGTATAGGCAGTTGTTTTGTTTGAGGGCCGCTTTGTAGTTTTAGCACAAGGCATGCATAGGATTTGCCCGACGTTTAGTAGCATCAGATACCCAGACACATCAAATTTAAGATAAGGACCGGCAGGCCATTTATTGAGGCCACACACATCATACATACCTCTTGCTTCGTGATGGCACGTTGAGTGTTGGTTGGCGGATGACCGAGAAGTTTCGTTATTTACCTATGTTTCCTTTTACGATATGCCTTGCAGCTTGGGTTTTGATATTGACCTCTATCGAAGTTCCTTGCGGACCCCCTATCTGCGGATAACGGACAGGAGCCATGACATCAGTGATGGGATAACTGACGAAATTCCTCTAGCCTGTGTGATCCCGACTGTAGCTTTTGAACCACGAATGGATACTAGGATTCCCATGCAAGGGGATAACAACAGATAGGGGGTCTGAAACTATATGCCCGGACAACTGGCTCCTTTTTATTTATTTTACGGTATTCATGATATGAAGTAGCAATTGCTGCTAGGACGTTAAGTGACTTTATCCAGAAAGACATAACCCTACGGTGATTCCCACACCCGTGCCCCTTGCACAATAAGAAAGAGGTGAGGGGGATTGAGCTGGATAACTGTGTAGAGAAACGGGTGAATGAGGCAAAAAAACATACAACACCAGGGATTCGCTGGTCGCCACCGACCCAACTACTAACCTAGCCCTCACTGGCTTATCTATTGGGGGCGGACAGGATCCCTAGTTTTCCCATGAGTCCTTCTCTCATGTACAAAGTATGCTGAACATGGAAGCTCGGGAGTCCAGAAAACGGGACATAAGCCCAGAAAATGGAATGTAACTTAGGACCGGAAAGACTACCTACCGACTTGGGACTAACTTGATTATTGTGAGAATAAAAAGTTCAATGTGAATACTTCTCTAATCGCTAACCCTCCCGACAGCGTGCTGCTCGTTCTCTAATCGCTATCCTCCTCCTGTTGTTGAACCACTGGTCGCTGGCGCAATCGTGTAAGTACCTCGGGATATGCCTTTACATTTATCACCTCCTCTGGCTCATAGTCGCTATCCTGGTCGTCAAGCCGTTTGTTGACTTCTTCCTCTACTACCTTGAACCGCTTCCTATTAGGGGAACTGAGTCTTTCCGGTGGTGTCCGGTCCCTTTTCCGCCACTTTCGTATTGGGTAGCGAGAGTTGTCCTATTCCCCGTCCCTCTTTGCTACGATGATATCGCTTTGCTGTGATATATTATATAGCTCAGAAAGGGGGATGGTGATCTCTCCTGGGATATTATCAATCCTAGGACAACCGTACCGGTTCCCAAAGTCCTTAAGCCTGATACGGAGCATCTTTTCGCCGTTAAGCAAACTCCCATCTGCAGCCCGAAAGATATCCCCCTCTTCAGTTTCAGCTGCTTCGAGTAACATCTCCCCGTCTTCTTCAACATCTTTTGGTCGCCATACTATGACTCTTGCTTCCTTCCCCTTGTTCTGCTGATATTCGAAGTCAATGCCGGTAACAAGCTGGGTCAGCCCATGAGAACCTAGAATGTAGTCGTTTGCTAGGTACTTCAGATCCTTCCTCTTTTATGAATTGGAAACCTCCACAACAACATCATACTTTTACGTATCTTTATGTGTAAATGATACATCCGGACAATGTGGTCTTCCATCTATACCTTTAATCTCAGGGTTTTCCGTTAAATCTACCCCCCGAGCGGATTCAGTGGTGACTTCGTCGTCACTTTCCTCGATAACAATTAACTTTCGTATGATACTTTTCTTGAACTTCCTAAGAACGGTTTCATGTCGAGTTTTTGCTATACGTAGAACGAACTTAGCGAGGTGAGGGAAGTAATCATACCTAGTTAGACGGTTAGCTGATATAATACTAGGCCAAGGGTAAGTAGATTACCTACTTTGACCAGTGGAAGTCCTTGTCCGCCTTGATACGTACCTCGAGAGTGTTGAATTGGCTACGGTTGAGGTTGATATACTACCACTCTCTTCCACCTGGGGTCGGCTACAGCTACGATTACGAAGCTTGGCGATAATCATATCGACGTTAGAGAACGGTAAACTCACAGGCGGCATTGGGGAGTCAGGAGATGTCTCTGTAAGCGTTGGTGGG